CCTGATCCCAACACTCTCATTGTGCAACCACGGCCTGAAAAACACTTTATTTCCTGTGCTTGAATGGTGCCTTCATTTTGGTGCCTGTGGAAAGGAGGGGAGAGAGAAAGGAAGGGCAGAAGTCATTGTGAATGAAGACAAATTATATAAGCTGTAAAACCAGAGGTAAAACCAGAAGCATGAGAAGAAAAAATGCTAAATAATTATTAATTAATAAAAAGGATGCAAACAATCACGGCATGTTCCAGGTTGAGAAATGGGTGAAATTAGCTGCTGGCTGTGACAGAGCCACCAAAAAGAGATACTTCCAACAACAAGTAGCTCCCTTGGAGAACATTTTGCTGCAGAGTTTTGTGGATGCTCACACTCCATATGGCTTCCAAACCTCTTTCAAGGACTGTGTATTTCCTGGCCCAGAAGCCTGTGAAGCACAATGTGCTTGCAACTGGGAGAGGATGCTGCAGGAGTATTGTATTTCTGCTCTGTCCCTGGATTCTTCCTAAGGCATTTGCTGTCAGACACTGCCAGGAAAAAGAATACTGAGCAGAAAAAAAGCAGAGCCTTTTTCTGATTGAGAATGTCCACTTTTATATATAGCCTTTTGTCCTTTGGTCCTTGTATCGTTCTGAATCTATTTTGTACATAGAGGAAAGATAAACAAGATAATTAACAAAGATGTTTTCGTTGAATATTTTGAATATGAAACTGGAGATTTTTTATGTAGACATCCCCTTTAGAGTTAATGACTTTCGTAAGGACCATGCAACTGTGCACTGGCTAGCTGTGCTGCTAGCCATTTGTTCTAGCTGGGGAGAACATCAGTGGTGAATACTCAGTGCTCCCGGGAAGGCCAGGCATGTGTGCTGAGACACATCCTGCATGCAGAGCTCTGCGTCTGGGCTCAACGGTGATACGGTTCATTACATGATGTGCATCTTCCTCACTGCCTCTCCCCGCTCTGACTGTCAGCTCACATCTTGCCCCCGTAATCCATTGACATTCTCATTAAAACTACCATCACTTTTCCCCACTATCTTTGCAATCAATCTTTCAATGCTTGAAGCATCATCACAAATGCCATTTCCTGACTCAGAAGGTCAAGTGCTCTGCCTGGATCTTCTTCTTGTCTGTCAGGAATTACCAGTCGCATCTTCTGACACAGAAAGGTCATTTCCTTCAGATTTGCCGGGAAGGTTTGACGATATGTCCTCCATTTCAGGAAACGCTACTGACCTCTCTGCAAGCCCTGTGTAACCGAGCATATATTTTCTCTCTTGCACACATATGTAGTAGAGAGGGAGATATATTTTCTACAGAGTGAACAGACCATCTGCACACATCTCTGGGCTTGCAAGCAAACAGCTCACTTGCCCTGGGCTTTTGGACTGATTCTGGGCCCTCTTAGAGCACATGTCACTGATGGGTGGGTGCGCAGTGGGCCCGACCTCCAGGAGGATGCGTGCTAGCTACTTGCAAGGATGCTGCATGTAAAAAGGCTCCCACAGAGACAGGAGGTGGAAGTCTCCAGGTCTAGATGAAGATCCACAACAGGCTCTTCTTGGAGGGGTTAGTGCTCAGTTGGCAAAAGGAAGGAACTGGGGAGGGACAAGTGAAGAAAGGTTTAGTAAATGGCAGGGTATAGACAAGACTCTGGGATGAAGTTGGGACAGCCCTAAGAAGCTACAGCAGTTCCTTGATGTGAGGCTGATGAAAGAGACTGTGGGGTCTCCTGGCAGATCCCCTCCCCTGACACAGAGGGATCCCTGGAGGCAGAGGGGCAGTTTGGCCGAATTAATTAGAGCTGAGCAGCTGTGGTTTAACCGTCTCACTGCCCTATGCAATCAGAGCTACTTGTGCTGAGCCACCAGCAGGGCCCAGGCACTGTGCACTCTGGAGCAGACTGATGGCAGCAGGACAGGACCTCATCAGGAGTATCTTGCTTCCCCAGACGAGCCAAAAAATGCGATTTGCAGCCACAGAGAAATTCGCACTTGTCAGTGCTGAGCGGCACTGTCTTACCTGACCGGCAATCGTGAAGAGCCAATTAGCATATTTTAATGTGACTGATTAGTGCCTGGTCACGCAGTCTGGGTGGTGGGTGATGTCTGAAGGTGATTTGAAATTACAAGCATGCACACGCCGAGCCATGAGGGATCTGGCGGGAGGAGAGCTGATTCCCCAGCTTAGCAGCTGTGGCCCTTGTTTTTCTGCTATTACACAAGGAAAACTGCCCTTGAAGACCTTTGCAAAGGTCCAGGGTGAGCGCTTAAAAACTAAGAAATTAACTTTTATAATTAGCAGAAGGAAGGTGGCTGGTGTGATCTCAGCTCAGCCTCTGCTGCAGCTCTGGAGCTCCACCTTTTGCAGAGCGGGAGTCTCGCGAAGGGGAATATGTCTTGCCAGGGAATCCAGGATTCCCATGCCAGGCCCTGGCAAGGCGTGGGGCTGCTCTGCGGGCAGAGCTGCTCTGCAGGGAGAGCCGATGTGCCCCGAGGAGCCCAGCTCCGTGGCCTCGTGTGGGGAGATGGCTCTAGGACAGCTGGCAGGCAGGAGCCCGGGCTCTTCCCCTCCATCCTGCACCGAGGTTGTGGGCGCAGGCCTGGCTGAGGAGGCAGGAGGAGCTGCGTGGGCCTTCACACATCTGCCCCGGGGCACATCTGGACCTGGGGACGTCAGGTCCCGTGTCCTCCCTGCGTCTGGGTGCGCTCCAGCACCCTGCAGCGTTACACAACCAAAGGAGCCGCTGTCGCCAAGAGCCGGTTTCCTTAGTTACCGGAGTCAGGAGGTGTTTCGGGAACCCGGCAGGCAGTTCTAGGAAGAGGAAGGAGTCTCGGGAGTAGGCAGCTGATGCCACCCTGGGGAGCAGCATGTTTCCTGCCTCTGTCACTGCACAACGTGGGGTGTATCACCAAAACTTCCCTTATGTGGCTACTAAATTGCCTGGGCTTCATTTTCTGGGTGTCCGCTCGGTACCCTGGGGTCCAATTTGAACAAGTGCTGAGCACTTGTGGCTGTGAGTAGAGTTACCCGGGCTGTGCACTGAAGAGCTGCACAGCCACGCAGAGAAATCACTCAGCATCGCTGGGTAATTGCAGGTTTAATCTCTTCAGATATCAGTTTCCCATCTCTAAAGAGAGATAATCCCCCACATTTCACAGGGATGCTATGAAAATAAATTCATTCCTACTTTTGAAGCATTAACATAATGTAAGAATGAGGAAAAAATCCTCTAAGTAAACAAGTAATTCTGTCCTCGAAGCAGTTTTTCAGAGACATATACCAGCTTCAAAGCGGGGTTTAAGGACACATCCTTGACTAAAGGCCACATCTTTGCCAGTGTTGACTCCAAAGCTTGGAGACACTGGAACTTTTCAAATAAAAACAGTGTTTTATTAAACACGGGCAAAACAGTCATTTTTCCCACCAGCCCTCATTCTTACCAACAGTTGTACTATCTTGGCTGAAATTTGTCTAGGCAGATTCAACCAGGATCCCTGAGCCTGCCTGGAGAAGTTCATCTCAAATATTAAGGTCATAAACAACTGAAAAGAGGAACTTTAAACAGGGAGCAAGAGGCCAACCCCAGAGCAGGCAGCATGAGCAGCCCTTGCTGTAAATGAGGTCCCAGGGCCTCATCCCCGCAGCCAGGCGCTCGGGGCTGAGATGCACAACTCTCCCACACTGCTGCACACCTACAAGCAGAGCCCCCAAGGTGGTGGGCTCCTCCGCTTGCAGCTGAGCAGGAGCTGAACCACATGGTGCATGGGCTTCCTGGGCTTGGAGAGGGACTTTAAAAATCATTGGTGGCCAAGATCTTAGCTGTGATGGTCTTCTTGGACTGAAGTTACAGCCCACTGAAGCTCTACATGATGTCCTGGCTCACTGGTGTCCTGGCTAGGCAATGGAGGAGGAGTTGGCGTTGATTCATCTAGGGCTGGGGCAGTCCAGCAGCAACAACTTTGCCAGCTGTGCTCAGGAGTCAAGATTTCACACCACATCTGCCAGTTTAAATGATGGAGCAAATTGGTTTCCATTCCAGAGGGTAAAGGCTCAGAGGTACCATGGCTTGTGGAAAATTATGGAAAACCAGCACTAGTGGAAAACTTGAAAATTATGGTACCTAATGTTGGGGACTAAAATGCCGAGGCAACCCACAAACACAAGAGTTTTTAGGAAAAAAAAAAGAAATCATATGCTTGTTTCTCTTTCAGACTTGCTTCTTTGGCTCTTGCAGAGCACATGTTGTACTAAACCAGCACAGCCCTCTCTGCTCTGTCCCGATATCACCTGCTGCAGCACAGAAAAAGTCACGGTCTCCAGGTCTTGGTGAGGCTGTGGGACAGATGCTGCCTCAAGCGAAGTAGGCAGGCAAGCTGAGTGACAGTGCATGGTATCATACTGGGACTGAAGGAAACAGCAATGAGAGACACTGGGAAACACTTGTTTATTCTCATGTTCTCTACAGTTGAATTGTGTGTTCTTCGAGCTATAGTAGCTCCTATAAATCACCAGTTGGGGATAAAAGTCTAGTTCATTGTACAGTCTTACCAAATGTGGGCCAACTGAGCTCTCTACCTTGTGTTAGCAGAGCAGCTGAGCAGGATTTCACCCTTGAGGAGGTTGTAAAAGAGGGAAATGTAGTGCTCAGGGTGTTGGTGGGACTCTACTGCAGCCTCATTCTGGTAGCTGTTCCTTGCTAGCCCAGTCTGAGCAGGTCCTAGATCATCCCAGTGGATGGGATCAGGGATGGCCCCATGCGATGCTCAGTATTGCATCCCCCAGTGCATTGCACTGCTGGCCGCTTCTCCGGCATGCGTGTGCGGCCTGCACCTTGCAGAGCAAGGGAGAGGGACAAGCAGGCTCCAAGCCCCTTTGCATGTTGGTGGTGCAGGTCCATGTCCCACCTGCTGCCTGCATCTGATGATGCAGTGGGAAAAAAAAAAAAGACACGGAAGAAGTTCCCTAGGTGTCACAGCTGCTGTTCAGCCGGGTGATGCTGCACTGACTAAGAGGTTTTGCAAAAGTTGCCGAGGTCCGAAGTGCCCCCACCCGCTCGCGCCCTGCTGCTGCTGCGAGGGCGGCACCCCCGCGCCCCCCCGCACCGCGGCGGCTGCTGCAGCGCTCCC